CATGGGACGAAGGAAGAAATCTGTGATCCAACCGACCCAACAAAAGAACCACCCAAAAAGGTTAGAAGAGGGTTCGGAGGAAAGAAGTGGAATGAGGAGAGGGTGAAGCGAGAAGGAGCGGCGGCATGGAAGACGGAGAGATTCAAGGACATCTTATTGAAGATGTAGGAGGCATATGTCAAGCGTTCCAATGTCAAGGAGGAAAAAAAGCAGAGAGGTTAAACATGTTGATGGCGCCGACCGAGAAGAAGTTCAAGCTCAAAGAGATGAAGACCATGCTCGAAGAGAAGAAGGTTGAGATCACAGCCACTTCGAAGGACGCGAAGATGTTGACCTAGCTTGAAGATGGAGGATTTAGATGATGACGCAAGGATGATCGTGCAAGCCGTTCGTTTCAAGATGTTGAAGCGATAGAAGGAAGAGCTCGAGGCAGAGGCAGCGACGGAGAAGGAGGAATAGGTGACGACGATAGGTTAAGCGTGGAGGCTCAGATTGCCTGTCTGAAGGGCAGAAAATCCATTTTTTTTCTGAAACTGCTGGACTAATATTCTTTTGTGATCGGACATATAAAAACTGTGCATATATGCCCCTTTTTGGCTGTGATCGGGGGCTGACGTGATCCTACGCTCGTGTTATGATCAGACAGATTTGAATTTGAAATTGCCCATACTAGTGGACACTTAAGTGATAGCTTTTGATGGTCGGCTCCCGCATCTATGTTCATGGGCTGGTCCCTCAGTCCGCAGACGGATCCGGTGTTTGGTTGAGATGCCTTAACTAATACTCCCTCCGTTCCTAAATATAAGCCGTTTTAGAAATTTAATATGAACTACATGTGAAGCAAAATGAGTAATATATATATATATATATATATATATATATATATATATATATATATATATATATATATATATATATAGAGAGAGAGAGAGAGAGAGAGAGAGAGAAACGGCGGGAGTATAATTCAGATCCGATAGTGTTGTCTTAAAGGATTGGTTATTATAGGATGCAATATGGAAAAAAGTTGTAGTCGGCGTGCCGATTGAAGCTTTGGCCAATCGCGTCACGCGTGTCCAATCCCTGTAGACTGTGTGTACCCCTCAGGCAGGTACTTCCAGCCCCCCTCCCCCCGCGGGCACTGTCGCGCGCCCCTCGTGCCCTTTGCGCCCCACCAGCCACCGCCTAGCGAGATTGCACACCGCCCTCCGGGCCCCTTGTCGCCATGGACGCGCCCATTGCCATGACCGCGCCCTTCGCCATGGCCGCACGCGACGAGGCCAAGCACGAGATGCCTCCGACTAGCAGCGGTGCGACCAGTGAGGACGTACAAGGGGGGACACTATGCTGTTGCAACCACCATTACTGGGTTCGGCCACCGCCGACACTAGACCTGAGCCAGGGAAGATGTCATGGCTGCCTGCTGCCATGGACGGACCGGTGCGTACGCAAGTGTTGCAACCATCACCTAAAACAACTTCAACAGCTGTTGAAAGAAGCTTCAACCACAGGTAGGAAAAGCTTCAATTGGCACTACCCAACAAGAAAAATCTGCAACCATTTGACCGAAAAGCTTCAATCATATATAGAGAAAGCTTCAACCACGGCACCGTGCAAGCGGAAAAAAATTGCAACAATTGACCGAAAAGCTTCAACCACCGATACGAGTGTTGCAACCATTGACAAAAGAGCTTCAAGCATATATAGAAAAGGCTTCAACCATGAACAGAGGAAGCTTCAACCAGCCACTATCAAACTGAAAAAGTTGCAACCCTTACGAGAAAAGCTTCAACCTTAGGTGGAAAAAGTTTCAACCGAAAGATATGCAAAGTTTCAACCGGGAACTGGAAGATGAAAGAAGTTGCAACCGTTACAAAACAAGGTTTGATCGTAGATGAAAAAAGCTTCAATCGGCATGGTGGAAAGCTTCAATCTGCGATGAAAGTTTCAACAGGCATGGGAAAAGCTTCAACCTAACGCCCAAATGGTGGCGAGCAGCGACGTTGAGAGCTGCACCGGCAGCACGATAGTGGAGCGACGACGGCGGCTACTAGGTGCTGCAACGACGAAGGGTGTCGGCGTGCTTCAAGACGACATCGTTTTGTTTGCTATGAGGGGGCGACGGCTTCCTACTGGACTGGGCGAGGACAGATGCTGCGACCGCGACCGCGACCGGTGGCAACGAGGATGGGGACGGGGATGGAGAGCACATCCAACATCGCTGGACTGCGAGAGGGGGGAGCAGGTCCAGGTGAGGGGGGTGGTGGCCGGCCACCAAGGCCG